TGGTAAACGACAATTATGCTACCTCGGTTATCGATATTCTTTGAAACCTAAGAATCAAAATGGTTCGGAATATTGGATATGTGTTAAATGTTAAACAACAGCTACAAGTTACTTAGATTTATCAGTAATTGTTCGTGAAGATCATACACATCTACCTGACGAAACTGATAAAGAAGTATTAGAACTGCGACAAATTTTAAAACGAAAAGCTATCGAAGAATCTAGTCCTATTGATCGTATAGTTCAAGAAGCATGTAAATGCTCCGCATCCCAATATTTATGTTGCCATTGATTTATTGCAAAAAGAACAATCGTTAGCATCTATTTCAAGATTACGAGATAATATGGGAGCTCCAACTCCAAAGCGTAGGAAAAATAAAGTTATAACAGATGAATGTTTAATTAAATTATGCCAGCGTTATGATGAAGGTCGTCTCGATATTCTATCATTCTTAAAAGCTGCTGGACTTAGATATTTTCAGCGTTCATCAAAAAGTTGAACGTCCATTCACCTTTTTTGGTTTATTTACTATTCCTTATTCTCTTTGTTATTTCCTCATATATTTGTTTGAATTCTTTTTTTTCTAAATATACACGTAGGTGAAGTTGGCGTCCGATTCGAGTAATTCTACCGCCGATTCGCCCAGGAAGATGTTCCAAGTGTCCTATTGCTGTTCCAAGTAGAAATCGACGAGCTCTATCGAATGGTATACTCAGATTTTACGTAACTCCAACTGTGTGCCAGAAAACCTCAAAATACCTCTAAAAAAGCATAAGAAACGACACACCACAATAGTAATTCTACCGCCGATTCGCCCAGGAAGGTGTTCCAAGTGTCTCCTTCGTGTTCCAAGTAGAACTCAATGAGCTCTATCGAATGGTAGGTTCAGATTCTCTGTAACCCAAAGCGAGTTCCCAGAAATCCCTAGATACTGCTCCGAAATGCAAAACTTTCCAGTAATTCAACCGCCGATTCGCCCAGAAAGGTGTTCCAAGTGTCTCATTGCTGTTCCAAGTGCAACTCGATGAG